ATCAATGGCCACTTATTCTACCAACTTTTCGTTTAGAAAAAAAAAAGCTTCAATTTTTTCGGATAAAACAATAAACTTGCGATCCGCTCTGGCTTCGTACGGATGATTTCAGAATATCGGCAACAGCTCCACTTACCGGTTCCAATTGTGAGTTTAAACTATCCACTCAAACACAAACAAAAACTTTCATGCGAATCGTTCGAGCCAGTTTCGAGTTTTAGCGAGGCAAACTGACATCAATAGATTGTTATATATATGTAGAGAAAGGAGTAATATAGTAAATAATAATTATATATAGCCTAAATGCCTCCTTACTTTACTCTCTATCTGTTTGTAAAGTATCATTACAATCAAAAAGCCCGGATATACAGCAGACAGATAGACAAACAAAAATTTTAAAAATGGTAATTATCACGTCGAGGTCACCGCTTTAGCTGTGCCCGTGGATGGAAAACGGTACATTTTCCCCTGGGCAAGTTGTTCGGTCGGGGAGCGGGCAACGTTCTGTGTGGTAGTCTGGTAGTATACAGCTATTGTATATATATCACAGTGCTTCGGAATTTTGATAACGTGATTAAAACTTAGGTGCGTTCCGCTTGTGGTGCGACGGCAGCGCCGCTCCTTAATAGAATTCGCGACCTTAATAGAAGCCAGTTATTTCAATATTGCAGATGAACATTTTGTTATTATTTATATAATGTTATTATACATATATTATATGTATAGATTTTGGATAACGGCTTTACAGGCTTTACATTTTAAGGTAGCAAGCCAAAAATTTAAAAACGGTACTGACATGACGCGGCGAACACTGGTTCTAAAATCCCGTTTCGAAGATTTTTGACGATTTAAAAAAAAGCACAGTATCTCCCCTAATATGAAGTATGTCAAAAATCATAAATAATTAGTACTACAACCCCCTGTAAGGATATAATGCGCAATTATGCGAATTCAGGGTTATACTGAAGTTTCATATCTGTTCCATATATTTATTTCATTTATTTCGTAAAAAAAATCATAAGTCCTCAATTTTTAATCCAAATTACTTCGTGTAACATTTTTGACCATGTTAATACTAAACAAACGCCAATTCAGTCATAAAAACGACACCTAAAACTTAAAAGCTCTGAGTCTTCGAAAAGCGATTTTCGATCCAGTGTGCGGCGGCTTCGCCCCACAAAGGAAACCAAACGAAAATGCATTCAGCTCCCGACGTCTCGTTATATACAATATTTTAAAGCTGTGTATGAGACATAATGGTTTCTTATATTTAAGTGAACACTACACATTGATTCTATCACGTTTAATTAACTTATTTTTATTAATTCCCGATGTTTCGAGTACTTTACAGCACCCATGGTCACGGGGGACTGAGGTAATTGACGCCCCGATGTCAGAATTAAACCGGAGTACCTTCAGCTTTTTTAACTAATAATTTTGTTCCGATCTACACAGAATGAACTTACTGTCTTGAAGTATTGCAGTGGTATGCTTAGGTTCAGTTTTAATTTTATTAATTACAGGATCCCAAGCAGGTGGCAGTACCCAGCCTCCCTCTCTATTGAAATTAGGATGTTTTTTAATTTCAATAGCCTCATATATCATCCTTGGCAGGAATCGATGTTCTTTCGCGAGAATTTGTAGTTTATCAAATCTAATGTAATGGCGGGGGCCGTCTAAGATATGATCACAAACTGCAGACTTCCCGGAATGTTGGTGTTTCACGTCAGCTATGTGTTATGTACGAACTATGTTCTTTTACGCGGGTTTTTATAGATCGCTTTGTTTACCCGATATACAAGGTGGCCCATAAGTCGTTAGAAATGTAAATTTCGAATAAAATACAAAAGGCGCGCATAAGTGGCGCGCGCGGTGCGGGGGGAATACCGACGGTTTCTGGGAATTCAGTCGCCATGGAGCGTTTCACCGGTGCGGACCGTGCATTTTGTGTGCGCGAGTTTTATCGAAACAATGATTCGGCTACCATTGCGCGGCGTAAATTTCGAGAATATCAGAATTTACGCAACTTTAAAGACATTCCAAGTGTTCAAACGATTAAGAACTGGGTTATTAAGTTCGAAGAGAGTGGTTCGACGTTGGATAAATAACGGTCAGGTCGACCAAGGACATCACGGACGGAAGAAAACATCGATGTAGTGAAACACTCAATTCGTGAAAATCCTACCCAGTCTACTCGTAAGCGTTCCAGTGCATTAAACTTACCCAGAACATCGGTACAGCGAATTTTAAAGAAAGATTTACATCTTCACCCGTACAAGATTCAGTTAGTACAGGAATTAAAAGATACTGACACTATCTACAGACTAAATTTCGCAAATGAAATGTTGAACCGCTTTACTTCGTTTAATAACGTGTTATTCTCTGATGAGGCTCACTTTCACATCAACGGCCATGTCAATAAGCAAAATTGTCGCTACTGGAGTTGCGAAAATCCAAATCGCAAACATCAAAAGCCCTTACATAGCCCTAAAGTGACAGTTTGGGCGGCTATGTCAGCGCATGGCATTATAGGCCCTTACTTTTTTGAGGACGGCAGAGGCCGCGCGCTTACTGTTACTTCACAACGGTATGTAGCTATGATCCAGGACTTTTTTACACCAGAGTTGCAGAATTTTCCAGGCTTCAATACGCGGACCTGGTTTCAACAAGATGGAGCAACTGCCCATACCTCTAACGTCGCTATGCCGGTCGTCCGTCAACTTTTCCCTAATAAAGTGATCTCTCGAAGAGGAGATATTCCTTGGCCACCACGTAGTCCAGATCTGACCCCAATGGACTTTTTCTTATGGGGTTATCTTAAGACTAAAGTGTACGAAACCAACCCGCGGACAATTGACGTCCTGAAAGAAAATATCCAAAGAGAAATGGCAAACATTATAGAGCTTACTTGCCACGCAGTGATGGATAATTTTAAACGTCGCTTACAGGAGTGCCGCGATCGTAACGGATTACATTTAGATGATGTAATTTTCAAAAAATAATTCCCATTTTATAAGGATTATGACAAAATAAAAACCTTTTTCATAATGTCATTAGTTTTTTTTTAATTATTTTTTTACATTTCAAGGGACTTATGGGCCACCCTGTATAAGAGACCACATTCACAATCAAGCTTGTGCACTCCTGCATCTTGTAGAGGAATATTGCACTTGACGGATGGTAAGAACTTACTACTTACTCTTCATCGCCGGCTTGAATAATGTTTTAAAAGAAGCTCGCTTCAAGATGTAGTCAATCTTGTCTGTGAGACCTCTGACATATGGTAGTACAGCAGGCACACACTCGACTGTGGCCGGCTTCACTCGGTCATTGTGACGTAGGTGCCGGACCCGAAGCTTGTTGTCGTGCAGAACCTGCTTAACGTGCTGAAGCTCAGGGGCCAGGTGTTTGCTGTCACAGATCCCTCGTGCTCTCTGTAACAAAGATTTGCCCACGGTAGCTAACTGTAAAGGATGATGGTGGGATTCACTGTTTAAATATAGGTTCGTATGGGTCTTTTTTCTACAATATAAATTTAAACGATCCAGGGTTTCACTCAAAACACACAAAAATATTTATCAATATCGGTTGAGCTCAAGTGAGTTCAAGTGTTTGCGAGACTAACGCAAGGCAATTGATTTTTGTATAATATATAGATTACGCCACCGGTTCACGGCTCCTTTTTTGGTATCTTTACTCGTACAATAAATTTACCTAATAACTCGGGAATAATTTGACTAAAGAATAGAGTGGCATAGAATAGAATATTTTTTATTCAAAATAGATTACAAGTAATTCTTATTGAAATTATTTTATTTTAATTTTACCCCTGGTTCGAAAACTTTGGTTCTGTGAAGAACCAGCAAAACACCCAGCGGGACTGTTTTTGTTTTTCAAAATTTTACAATAAAATACAGATTGTATAAAATGCTTACAAAACTTATATAAGAAACAGGTTGGAAACGACCAAATTATTCCGAGGGGTTATTATCAACCATGTATTCGTATATAATAACTCTTTAATAAATAGTCCTTGTATATTTTCTGGAACTTTGTTGAAATAGCGTATACATTGCGCATTAATGATTTTGTAGAGTTGAGAAACTGGTATATACTAAAGTACAAAAGGCGTGGCATTGCGATGTATTCTTTTAAATCAATAAGGGTGACAAATGAGCGCTCAGCCCACCTGATGGAACGTGAATGTTGTGGTCTCTATGGACATCAACATCTATCCTCAATTAAGAATAAAACTATAGAAACGATGTCACCCCAGAGGGCTGGGATGGAATGCCTCGATTCCAGTAAAAATGTTCTGCCGTTCTTTAAACTTTCCATACGAAACACAGCAGCATTAGGCAGATATTTTACGCTAGTATTATGTGAGAGCGTGGTGCTTGCTGGTCGAGCCGACTATTTTGTGCTACCACCATATCTACGCTTTAATTATTATTTTTTATTTAATAGTTTATTGATGATGGATGATCACATAAATAAACCTAGCAAGCTAACAGCATAGCAAAGTGGCGAAGCAATCAGCTTTGTAGCGGTTTCTAACGGTTGCCGTTGAGCAATCAGTTTCAAAATAGGAGGTTCAGATGTCTGGGTGATCAGTAATCGATTGCTGAAAACAGAATTTGAAAATTCAAAACCGTTCTCGAGATAATCGTGGGACAGACGGACAGACGGACAGACATCGTGAAATCAATAAGTGACTTCGCAAGCTTCGCCACTTAATAAGTGACTTCGCAAGCTTCGCCACTTAATAATTAGAATAATTAGAAAAAAGTGATTTCTAAAGATTTTAAAATAGGCAATGAAATTTTTAATGTAACTATTTACTATTTACTATTGTAGTTGTTACGTTAAGTTTAATTTTGAACATTAAACTTTTAATAAAAATTTAAAACTGACATCAAAGAATTAGTTCAATAATAATTACCACGTACAAATTGTTGATGTTCAGATGGTCTTGAAGATTCTGATGATTGTCCTCAGATATGCCAGCCGTCATGACGAGCGCGAGGACCGCAGCCGGCGGGGCCGATGTAAGCGTGGCCGACAGCCCCCTGGCCACGTTCGAGTCGCTCACCCAAGCCGCTGTTATTGCTGTCATGGGAATCGCCATCGTCGTCTCCAACCTTCTAATCATCGCTGCCTTTTTGAACTTCAAAGGTAATAGTTTCTTATATTTACGCGAACACTAAACATGGAATAAAAGAAATTTTACAGAATTTATTGTGTTTAATTTTAACTTTTGTGATTCTCGACGTTTCGAAAAATTTACAACAACCTGTTTACTGCAAGTTTTGTTTGACGTTCTGATGTCATAGTTAACTAAGGCTACCAAAGAGCATATAACCACTACGTTTAAAGACTACCTTGAACTTTTAATTATTAATTTTTGGTACGATCTACGCAGAACGAGCTTACAGGAAGTCTTGGGTTTGGATCTAATTTTATTAATTATGGGATCTCAAGCAGGTGGTAGCAACCAACTATTCTCAATATTGAACTGAGTATCATCATCATCATCATCATCATTACAGCCTTTCATAATTCCACTGCTGAACATAGGCTTCCCCCATGTAATGCTACAAAGCACGAACTGAGTATATATAAAGATAGTTTAAATGTACTCTTTATTATTATTTTTTGACTTTTTATTTTATAAGATAATTTTTATAAGAGGATGATAAATGAGCACACAGTCCACCTGATGGTAAGTGTTTGCTGTGACCCATAGAAATCTACATCTTTTCTCAATAAAAATTCAAAATACAGATGCGTTGTCGCCCGTGAAGATTAAGATGTAATGCCTCGTTTTCAGTAAAAAGGATCTCCGGTTGTCTACACTCACCATACGAAACACAGCAGTGGTAAGCTGCTATTTTACGCTGGTATTTTGTAAGAGCGTGGTCCTTCCCCGGTCGAGCCGACCCATTCGTACTTCAACTATACTACTAATATAGCTGTAGCATGGGTCTGCCACGTACCACTTTAATGTATAAGTTCGTTTGTTCCATCAATTTAGTAAAAAGTACATTTCTTTTAAAAGTAGTTTATATGATCCTATCATATAATGAATTTCATCATCATCATCATCATTTAAGGCCTTCACAAGTATACTGCTGAACATAACTTCCCCGAAAGAATGTCACAAAGCACGTACTTGAGCTACCTGTATCCATCGGCTTCCTGCGTCTCTCATCAAATCGTCGCTCTATCTTGACGATGACGAACACCATTGTCGATGTGATTATTATCGATAATTGTCTAAGATTATTCTTAATTCGAGAATCTACGTTAACAGAATAAAGGTTAAATAATTTTTTTAAACGCATGTTTATTTTTAATTATATACAATATTAAAAGCTATAATATTAATAATAAAAACTAAAACTAGAAACTTAATTATCATATAGTCCTACTCCACGCGGTATTGTGCCAAGAACTCTGGCTGCGTTTCCCCGCTGAATGGCTATACTTAGCCATTAAGCGAGAAAAGAACCAGCCCTCTTATCACCAGCAGTAACGAACAGCCGCGTATGGAGTTCCTTTAGGAACTTCACCGTACGTGGACCCTACGGACCGATAGTCTCTATAGCAAATGGCATAAATATTTTAAACGAAACTACTTGTTTTTCGTTTAAAATATTTGTCTTTATTAAAATAGTATTATTATTACGCGGTCAAGTCTCCTGAGATCGCATAGAGCCGAGTCTCCGAGCAATGTGTTAGAATAATTTATTTTAAGCTGCGCTGCATTTATTTTATGGTTTTAGATGCTCTTAATGAATGATAACAAGTATCAGCTGCTAACGAAACAGAAACAGACACAGAAACTTTTTTATTCAATATAGATTATAAATAATACTTATTGAAAGTCACTCTTTTGTTTGATTACCACTGGTTCGGAAAAAACCACTGTCCTGGGAAGAACCAGCAATAAACCCAGCGGGACTTTTTTTTTAAATAACAGCTTACAATCATGATGTTACACAAATTAACAACACAACAAATTAGAAATAGCTTGGTAGCGATCACCTCATTTCCAGGGGTTATTATCATCCATAAATTCCTTAATATTATAATAACCCTTTTTATACAAACTTAGTTTAATAAAGTTTTTGAACTTTGAGCAGGTCAAACTTTGTATATTTTCTGGAATTTTGTTGTAAAAGCGTATCGCCCCAAGAATGAATTACTGACTCGATGGAGTCGAGTAACTGGTACTACTAGCTTGTGTCTGTTCCTAGTATTTACAGAATGAATATCACTTATTTTTGTAAAACTACTTTTATTTTTGTGTACGTACATTACATTTTCATAAATGTATTGAGAGGCCATAGTTAATATATTAATTTCCTTAAATTTTTGTCGCAGCGACTCTTTAGGCTTTAAATCATAAATTGCTCTTATGGCCCTCTTCTGTAAAACAAATATAATTTCAGTGTCAGCTGCGTGTCCCCATAGCAAAATACCATACGACGTTATGCTATGGAAATAGCTAAAGTAAACTAGTCTAGCTGTTTCAACACTGGTTAGACTTTTAATCTTTTTAACAGCATATGCTGCAGAACTAAGTCTGCTTGCTAGTTTTGCATGAAGCATTTCATCTTAGGTCTGAGGGGAGACTACAAGTCAATGCATCTGCATTTTGGTTCTTAATCGTGGATAAACGTAGATATCTATGAGCCACGGTATCCAATTACTATCAGTTGGAATGCGTGCTCGTTTGTCACTCTTATTCTATTTAAATAAAAATTGCACGAATCACGGTCATGTATAGGAAATTCATATTTATTTGTCATATCGTGACTTTTATGTGCAAAGTATATTTTTTTTAATTTACAGGACTCTCGAACGAAGTGATCAACTACTACCTCCTATCGCTGGCAGTCGCCGACCTACTCTGTGGACTCTTCGTGGTGCCGCTCTCCGTATACCCGGCTATAACCGGGCGATGGATGTTTGGGGACCTCATGTGCCGCTTGGCCGGCTATGTCGAGGTCACCCTCTGGTCCGTCTCAGTCTACACTTTCATGTGGATATCGGTGGATCGCTATCTAGCGGTCCGAAAACCTCTCCGTTATGAGACGGTTAGTGCGACGGTAGTTATCTTTTTCTATATTTCTTTAATTAGAATATCGCCTACTGTGCGTCTCGTGAAACTGCGGCAGTTCTCTGGTTCTTATGAGGTTAACCCATTTCTATCGAATACATTTAGCGGTCTAGTATACCTAGAATATCTAGTGCCATTAACATATATCCATCACTGATACATATATCATTGAGAACCAGAATGCTAAGTAGAAAGTAGTTACGGAAAGCCCGGTGCCGCTGCTGCTGTCTTACATAACTAGATTTACTCAAATTCCTCTTGGAACAGTTTCATTATTATGTTTACCTCGCCTCGTCTAACATAACATAAAATAATACATGATAATAACTTTTATTAAACGCAAGCGAATGTATTATTATAGTTCCTGTTAATATACGAAGAAATACATAATCGTGATGTTGTAGATGTTTCAATATACTTTGATTTTTCTCACAAAAATATTTTTTCAATTTTAACCAGCAGCGGCGACAATGTGCTTTTAGTTTAAAATGTCCTTTGTTAAAAAAAATCTCATTATAATATATTTCCGCGTAGATTGCAACATGTGTATAGATAAACTTAAGAGTACTAATCTGGTTGGTACGTTGTTCGTGCTAACTCAGAGTATGTTCTAAAAGCTTGAACGGTGAGGATATCCTGACGTCGCTTAGTGCATACAAACGTATTCCGCTGTTTCTTCGCCGCATAATGGTATAAGAATAATTATAACTAGTGATGATACGATTATTACGCTCTATGATCAACATTTACTACATTGAGAACTTGATATAAAAAATCTAAAGGATTTCTTATATTCACGCGAACACTACACATTGAATAAAACTTACTTAACTTAACTAACTTAACTACCTTTTACGGATTTTATCGCGTTTAATAAACTTATTTTTCTTATTTTCATTAATTACCGACGTTTCGGGTGCTTTCCAGCACCCATGGTCACGGGGGATTGAGGTGATTGACGTCCCGATGTCAGAGTTAACCCGGAGTACCTTCAGATTTTTTAATTATTAATTTTAGTCCGATCTACGCAGAATGAACTTATTGTATCTTGAAGTCTTGCAGTGGTATGCTTCATCATCCTTATGGATATTATCAAATCTAATGTAACATAAGATTTGATAAACCATAAATTCTCGCGAAAGAACATCGATTCCTGCCAAAGATGATACGTGAGGCTATTGAAATTAAAAAAACATCCTAATTTCAATAGAGAGGGAGGCTGGGTACTATCACCTGCTTGGGATCCTGTAATTAATAAAATTAAAACTAAACCCAAGCATACCACTGCAAGACTTAAAGATACAGTAAGTTCATTCTATGTAGATCGGACAGAAATTAATAATTAAAAAAGCTGAAGGTACTCCGGGTTAACTCTGACATCGGGACGTCAATCCAGAAAGAAAGAAAGAAAGAAAGAAAGAAACAGATTTTATTTGGCACATGCAGCACACTCAAGCGGATTACATAAAACACATAACATTTAAGTAATCATAGAAACAAACAAAAAAAAAACACAAAAAACATTATACATAGAAATCATGAAACAAGACATTAACTCCTTATTTAAAGATATCGTAAAATTAAACAAAAAAAAAGCAAAAAAGCAAACAATAATATTGAAAAAAATAATAATAACAAAGAACTAGAGAATTAGGAGTAATGCATAAGGTGTATTATAAAGATAATCCACCCGTTAATGCTGCTCTGCTCCAAAAAGGAAAGCCACTCAGGATATGTTGGAATGTATCAGAAGCACCCCAACCCTGATTTTCAGTGGCACCCTTATGTATTTAAAATAAAAATACACAAATAAGTATAAAAAAAATATATATAAATACATATATTATATATTCTTTATGTGCAGAGGGCAGTTCTGTTGTGTTAAACCAAATATAATAACAAAAATTTATTTGTTGTAATATTGTCATAATTCTTATAAAATATTCTTAATACTGTAGGAACGTAATTAAGTTTAAGTTACAAGCAAATACACAAACCAGCTGCAGTACACCGCTTCAATATATAATTTCAATAAATAATATTTACATACTCAAACATACACACATATACACATATACATACACACATACATACACATATATATATATATATATATATACATATATACACACATACACATATGTATGTACATAAACATAAACAAGCACACATAGATACACATATATACGCTTATACATTCTTTATAAAATTACATACTATCAAAATATCTGCACTATTTAACTTTGAGATTGCTGATCTAAGAGGAGCAATTTATATTTTTGACGGAAGCTATGTATCGATTGCGTATTACGGAACGGCGGCGGCAAGTTGTTCCAACACTTGGTTGCTGCATATCGAAAACTGCCTCGAAACGCAGCAGAGCGGTGTTGGGGCAGAAGCAACCCGTACGCTGAAGCTCTTGTCACTACATTTGTTAAGACGTTGTCTCGAGCCCACCGCAATTTTTCATAGAGATAAGACGGTGCCCTGTATTTGATACAACCAAACAACAACGTAGCAAAATGTAAAAAAAATCACCTCAGTTCCTCGTGACCATGGGTGCTGGAAAGCGCCCGAAACGTCGGGAATTGATAAAAATAAGAAAAATAAGTTTATTAAACGCGATAAAATCCGTAAAAGTAGTTTTATTCAAAATATAAAGAAGATTAGAAAATATTCGTTACATACAAAGTTATTTCTTACAATGAGGTTTGTTACATTATAGAGGTCAGGTTGGTCCACAGATTACCTTAATCTATGGGTTGGTCTAATATTCGTTTTTGCAAGGTAAGCGAACTTAAAATTAATGAATGCCTTACAATACTAAACATAAATTTATTATGACAGTCTGAATTCCCGGATTGTCTAACAATAAATTGAATGTGACCGAAGTTGTCTAGACAACTTCGGTCACATTCAATTGGTCTGGTGGTAAACTATTCCTTGTGGAATAGTTTACCACCAGGGATTTTTCCGGACCGATACGACTTAGGGACCTTCAAGAAAAGAGCCTACTCCTTTTTAAAAGGCCGGCAACGCATCTGCAATTCCCCTGGTGTTGCGGTTGTTCATGGGCGGCGGTAGTCACTTACCATCAGGTGAGCCGCATACTCGTTTACCCCCTCTCCTATAAAAAAAAAAAAAAAAAAAAAAAAAAGACATGAATGTACTTGTAGAATACTTCATACAGAGGTTAATTATACTTTCTATTTATGTTGTGTATTGGTAAAAATGGTTAAAGAGATTTTTACAAAAGTTATTCTTAAAGTATAGGTATATTTTGCATTAACTCTTACAGCCAGTTATAGGATATTTCCAAGCATTTCCATAGCATTTTTAAGAATTTGTTAATTCGAGGAAATCGATTACGGTTATTTCTGTTTTCAAATAAAACATAAATCTTTCTTGAGGAATTAATATTCAAATCTAAGATTTTTTTTACACTACAAGCATAGATTTAATGAGGATAAGGGTGACGAACGAGCACACAGTCCACCTAATGGTAAGTGGTTGCTGTGACCAATAGACATCTAAATCTATCCAAATTCAGATGTGTTATCACTCGTGAAGATTAAGATGGAGTGCCTCGTTTCCAGTGAAAAATGTCCCCGGTTCTCTACACTCACCATACGAAACACACAGCAACGTTAAGCTGCAATTTTACGCTGGTGTTCTGTGAGAGTGTGTAGTATGTAGTTCCGCCCCGGTCGATCCAATCTATTCGTGCTATAGTTTTATACCACTAATATAGCTGCAGCATGTCTCTATTGTGTAAAACGTAATATTTCTTAATAAAACATAACATTTATAGCTGTTTAGAGTTTCACCGACGATTTGACCGATGGTTTGAATGAAATATGTTTTTTGCTATACATTAAAAACTGTAATAAACTTCTTTGAATATAGAAGTCCAAAATAATCGATAGATAATCGTAATGATAATTGATGAATACGATTCGTCGTGAAATTTGTCGATTACGTTTAATCGTAAGCGAAATCAATCAATACAATTAACATCTATCTCTGCTATGTTCCTATGTTATGTTTTTTACACAGCTTTATTATTATAAAAAAAACTAGGAACCTTCTAAAATTACTAAGACAAGACAGTTTTACCGCCTTCATTTGGCATCCAGGAAACGTAAAAATAAAATAAAAACATGCGATGTAGCCACAACACTTTTAAATTAATCTTGAAATAAAATTAAAACAGTCCAGGTTTGGAGACAATCGCCCAACGACTTCGTTAGTTACGCCATCTTGAAAGAATAGGAGGGGATCGGACAGTGAAGTCAGTGTACTTGAGCAGATGGAAAGATGAAGTAAGTAAGGACCTGAGTGAATTTCAGATCGGAAACTGGCAGGTGTTGGCTCAGGACAGTACTAAGCGGCGTCTTTTATCGTCGGAGGCCAATGCTCGTTTTGGGTCACTGCGCTATTAGTTAGTCATTTTGGGTCACTCCGACGCGTTAGTTAGTAAGTTTTGGAGTATAAACAGGAGTGAAATAGGGGAATACAAAAATATTTTGTACAATCAGTCCGAGCTGCAGTTGTCAAAATCCTATTGTTTTTAAAAATCTATTCCACAAAAATTTTTGCAGGATATCCTCATCACTTATTTACTTTCATATATAAAGTAACTAATGTTATCGAACGTTATGCATATATTATATAACTTCAATTAAGTTTCCATAAACCCATTGAATAACGCCAACTTAGAAGCAATAGTATAATTCGTATAATACAAATAAATTAGGATGAATACGCTGTAATCTACCGAGAGTAAGGTCACAACGGTATCCGGTCGCAAACACCTTGCCCTAGATTTGTGGTCGAATGACTTCAAATTCAAAATTTTAACATAAGAGCATCTGGATAAAATATTAAAATAAAATTAAAAAGTCCTAAAGAAGTTCAGGTTTTTAATCAAAACACAGGATTTTTTCTGGTTATAAGATTAAGTAATAATTTTGTCTT